GTGGACTGGGCTGGGGGCAGTACATCCATGCCAGAGGAGCTGCCGACACAGAGTGCTGGCTCCTGGGAGTGGTGGCCCGACAGGCTGCTGCTTTTGCCGCTGAGGTTCCCGGTAGAGCCCTGCAGCTCCACGGATATCAATTTATATCCGCGGATATCAATTTTGTATCCACACAGGGCTCTATCCGACTGAGGATGGATTAGGGCTCCAGCCCACGGCTCCCACTTCCCAACAGAGCAGCTATTGTGATAGTGATGTGGGGAGCAGGAGGCAGCCAATACTAGGCAGGGAACCTCTAAGAGAACAATGGCTCTCACCCCTCAGTAAGGGGAATCCAGAGGAACCCACACAAACACCAAGTCCCAGCAACTTTGGACTGAGGGGGCCCCCCACTGGCCATTTTCAGCATCTTCCTCTTTGTGCTTCAACTAAGAATTTGTACTCACCCATCTATCTGCACCAAGCTGTTGTCTCTTGTCTATTTAGATTGTAAACTTTTGGGGCAAGCACTATTTTTTTTGTTCATTGTACTGGGCACTGGGCAGACACAGGGGTCCTGGCCATGACCAGGGCAACTACAATACAAATAACAAAAGGATAAGAGCTTGACATTCTGGGTAACTGCCTTCGTTCCACCTCTTCAGAGCAGGCCCAGTACAGGGACTTGGGGCCAGGCTATACTGCTAGCTCTGGATCAGGCTCCCTATCTAAGAGCATTTGCCTCTTGCCCAGAGTTCTCTGGCAAACCAGTTGGCTCCCTGGCACAGGTGAGGAGCAGGGGAGGGCATGCTGTGCTTAGATCCAGCAGTCCTCAGCTCACACAGGAATAGGGTGACCAGACAGCAAGTGTTAAAAATCAGGACCAGGCTGGGGGGTAATAGGAGCCTATATAAGAAAAAGACCCAAAAATCAGGGCTGCCCCTATAAAATCGGGACATCTGGTCATCCTACACAGGAAAAGCCTGGCAGCAGGACCACACACTAAGGGGATGGAGTGTGCTAAAGTGTCTAGACCATGGACAGCAAGTCAGTGATTCCTACCTCCCTGGTGCTCTGCTCCACAGCTCAGCCCTGCCCTGCAATGCAGCTGAAAAGAGTTGAGCAGCTCACTCCCACACACCTGCCTTGGACCTGCTCCACAGGGCACTAAAAAGCAGACATTCGCTTCTCCACGGCATCCCAGGAATCCTTCCCACTGCCAAGGAGAGGCCTATGGAAAGCTGCCTGCCTCTCAGCTCATCGCAAGCCACAGGAGGGCAGAGCGTGGCAGCCTCCCGACTGTGGGAGGCGACACTACTGCTACCATGCCCAGCAACTCAGACCAGGCCAGGCATCCCAACAGGCCCTGGCCACTGGCCCCCACAGAGATAGCCAGCCACATGCCAGACACACACACCCACGTGGTGCAGTTTCTACAGGGCAGTGAGGCTCCCCAGGTCAGGCTTGCTCTGAGACTCTGAACTGGGGAGAGTCACCAACCCGATATGGATTGCACATGCACCCAGGGACTCCCTGGCTCTGTTGAGTGGGGGCTGCCCAGCTGCATCAGGCATTCCTCCTCGCCTCTCTGTTAGGAACCGGGCCATGGGTGGTCTCGCCTCGTGGTCAGGGCGGGAGGCTGGCACAGAGGTGACCAGGCCTAGCAGCCAGACCCTGAATCAAGAGCGAAGTTACCAAGACAAAGGAGTGAGCCAGAGCCAAGAGCCAGGAATCAGGAGTTGAGGGTTGGAGGACACGTCTACACTACAATAAAAACCCACAGCACCAACTCTCAGAGCCCAGGTCAATTGACTCAGGTTCACAGGGCTAAAAACTGCAGTGTAGACATTCAGGTTCAGATTTGGGCTGGAGCCCGGGTTCTAAGCAGACATGGCAAATCCATGAACAAACAAACAAACAAACAAACAGAAATTAGGCTTGTTTTTGGTTTAATTGGCTTGTGAGTTGCTTGTTGGCTAGGTTTCAGAGAGGTAGCTGTGTTAGTCTGTATCAGTAAAAACAATGATAAGTCCTTGTGGCACCTTAGAGACTAACAAATTTATTTGGGCATAAGCTTTTGTGGGCTAAAACCCACTTCATCAGATGCATGGAGTGAAAAATACAGTAAGCAGGTATAAATATACAGCACCTGAAAAGATGGGAGTTGCCTTACCAAGTGTGTGTGTGGGGGGTCAATGATAACGAGGCCAATTCAATTAGGGTTAGGGTGACCAGCTGTCCCATTTTTAAAGGGACAGTCCCATTTTGGGGGACTTTTTCTTATATAGGCACCTATTACCCCCACCCCATCCCATTTTTTCACAGTTGCTATCTGGTCCTAATACCTAATTAGGGTGGATGTGGCCCATTCCCAACAGTTGACAAGAAGGTGTGAGTATCAACAGAGGGAACATTATTTTTTTGTAGTGACCCAGCCACTCCCAGTAGGAGAACACTTCAATCTCCCTGGACACTCAATAACAGACTTAAAAGTGGCAATTCTTCAACAAAAAAGCCTCAAAAAGAGACTTCAAGGAGAAACTG